TCCTGAGAAAGGTCGAGAAGGGCGATGGATAGACTAAGGCTGGCAAGATTTTCAGCCTTCGAATGCTTTTCCACCTCCTCCTCCGCCTCAGCAGCACCTTCCTCCTCCCCATACGGATCCTCAACAAGCTTGATGATTTCGGCATCGGTCAGCTCCGCATGTGCCGTCTCCTCCTCCTCAGCCGGATTGAAAAGAGAAGCGATCGACATGGGATTGCGGAGCGGGGTCCTTTCCAGCGCCGAAACAAGATCCTGTTCCACGCGCTGCTCCTCTACTGCAGCAGCTGTTGCCTCCTGCTGGGCCTGCTGGCCAACAGTGCCGGCTTCGTTTTCACCCCCCCAGTCGGCAGAGCCGGACCGTCCATGAGTCCCGTATGACGGAAGCAGTTGGCGATTGTGGCACTGGAAATCTCGCTCCACGCAGCCAGCGACCAACGCATGGCCGTGAGCTGATCAACCTTGCAAAGGTTGGTTTCTCCGCGCTCGTCACGGTCCAAGGCATTCTGCAGATGCAGCCGGCGGTAGTGCCTCTTGAATGCGGCAATGATCCCAGCATCCATGGGTTGGACCTTTGAAGTCGTATTAGGAGGAAGAGCCTGGACCGTGATGTTGGTGAGTTCCAGGTCAGCAACAATGTGTGAAGGAGCGTTGTCCATGAGAAGCAGAATTTTTCTATCCTTTTGCTGTGGTCAACGCGTTAGTAAAACCTCATTTACTGTACCACAACGATGATGTTCAAGGCATGCCCCAAATTACCTTCATACTTTTGTCGACGTCTCCCAGCCATTCCTGGAAGAGTATGCCAGTCATCCAGGCTTTCTTGTTGTTGCGGTAGAGAAAGCCCAGTCGCTCAGCTGTCTTGCGCTCAAAACACCGCGACTTTTTGGTGTGTCCATTGAAGAACGGCGGGAGTTTGTCGGATCCACCAGCGTTTGCCGTAAGAGAAACTGTGATGCGCGTCTAGAATAGTTGTTAGTGTCAGAGAAACGCAGGAAACCAAGATGAGAGCAATAATGTACCTTGTCTTTTTTAAACCCTTCGACCTCTTGCTGGGCAATCGTTCTGTCGGGCGTCATACTGTAGAACAACCCTGAACAGAAAGTGAGCCTTTGAGATGCTTCTGTACTGTACAATGAGTACAGTACTGTACTGTATTCTCAGACCTACCAGTTTCGTCCATGTTGTACACGTCACGTGGAGTATAACCAGCAACCACGGCCTTGAGGTGTGGAAGACCCTCCTCTAGAGCGCCCATATCTGCTGAGCCACTCTCGCCATGAATGCGGACAGCTCGCAGTTTGTGGCGCTGCTGGAATTTGTGGAGCCACCCATTCGAAAAGCGGATGTTTTCCTCCGAGACGCCCATTGATCCCGCAAAAGTCTGAGCCTTGGCCCGTATGAGATCTCCAGTGAGAGCGACCCCACGGTGCTGGCACTGCAAGACCCAGAAGGCGACGGCCTCCTCCACAGCTGGGTGCTGGACAGTCCGAGGACGCTTAGCGCTGAGGTTAGTGGTGTCCATTGCCTCAAGCTACTTCCTTTTTTTGATGATTTTGCTGATCGCTGCCTGGGAAAGTGCCTTCTGGAGGTCAAAGGCGTCCTTTGTCCAAGCCGCCAGGGCAGTCTGGGTGATGCGCGGGTTAGCATCCTGGTGCTTGCAGATGCGCAGCTTCTGCTCGTTGGTAAGACGTATCTGCGACATCTGTTGTGAGTGAGCAAGGTACAGTTGGTGGAACTTCTTAACCAGAGATAGCAAAATCACCAGAGACTGGTGGGGCAACCAAAATCACAAAATCGTCAAAGGGCACGTGACACGTGACAGACAGGTTTTGGAAGCCTGGAGGTTTGTTGCGTTTTTGATTCTTTAATTAATTAAATTAATAATTTTTCCGCAGCATATCTCTGCTATGGAATAACCTCTGCTATGTTATAAGATTTGCCTTCCACCAAGTCTATAACTTAGCAGAGGGAAGACTGTAGTTATGTTTTTTTGATAAACCATCTTTTGTCTTGAGTAAACTATACTAAACTACAATCTCCTATGTGGGTTTATTGCTCACCACCCATTGCGCGCGTCCAGCAGCGATTGGTGGTTAATCTGGTTGATGTGCCGTGAACATCAACCATCAGGTGGAGCAACCCATCAAAGAAATATTACCCTCGAAGGTAATATTCCTTCAACCTTACTCCTTACGGGTGATGTCAATAGAACATTATCGATTTCGATAATGTTCAAAGTTGATGCGAAAATATCAATTTTATGTAATGGGCTCACCCCGTTACGCCGGACGTGCCAGACAGTCTGGCACGAAGTACTAGATGACGCGTCAAGTGTGATATCTATTAATTGAGATAGCCACTCAAGACGGAGTTCGACTTTGTTTGTGCTGCACATACACTGACGGAAAAGCGTCAGATTCAAGTTGCATAGAAGAGTCTCGCTCGCTCAAAGTTCTCTGCAGAATAAAACGACTCAGGACAGACTAGCGTTACGACGGGCGTACAGGACCCTTCGCTTACCTCACGAAAAGCTGTAGCGCGGATGTCAAGTTGACGGAACGGCAGTGAGATCAGAAGTTACTGAAAGTGAACGTGCTGCAAGTATTTGCCGCGGGATCTGACGTTTCAGGCGATCTACACATTTACATTTCGCAAGCGTGGCAGGAGTTCAGCCCAAATTGTCTGCGCTACCGATTGTTCCATCGGAGCTCTGCCTGCTGTACAACTACAGACCACCATGCTCGTTGCGCCTGCACAGCGAACGCACAGGTGACGCACTTGCTGACATGATAATGGCCACAGTGCTGTGAAGTACCTCTTTCCGAGCAGTCAATGAAATCGACCATGGATTAGTTTTTCTACTGTACTGCATTCGAAAAAGAAACCATTTTCAAGGTACAACAAGCACGGAAACCAGTTGATCTACTTTTTCGAGCCAGAGTAGCAGTTGTTACCCTGATCTGTGATATGCGGTCGCATCTTGTCACCCAAAAGGAGACGCTGTCACTCTGCTGCGTAAGTATAGCTCCCACAAAAGTTCAACCTGCATAGAAAAGCGGAGGGGACACGTCTCGAACATTCGAGCACGTGTCGACACTACGCAGACGTCTACAGGCAAAGCACCTTACCAGCAGTCGCATGATCAGTAATTGCGGTGTTGGTTTACGTGCCTCATTTGCGTTCATGTGGCTCAGTGAAGTAGCGGTACTCGCTTTCGTTTGCTGTGGTCTGCTTTTCGATCACTCAGATTGATATGGCCATTGTTTGCTACAATCCGGTGAGTGCGCACCTCCGTCAGATTGCGCCCGTTCAAAAATTTCCGTCCCACCGGAGAGTTCCCGCGACCGATGCAGAAGATGCAACGTCGCAGTCGGGCAGTAACCCCGCAATGTTGCTACCGCCAGAGTCCGGAGAGACAGATGGTCCGACGTTCGTAATCTGCTCGTCCGTCTCTAACACGGTACGCCGGATTTTTGGCCTGCGTTTCCGCCCGCCTCCTCACCTACCGGTGGCGGCGCGTTACGCGCGTAATGATACGCACTTGACCACCTACAGACGACGTGCTGCACTTCTTCGCCACGCGCTTTCTTCGCAGTACATGCGCTGCACGCGGCAGCATGAACGACCGACTCAACGATCTTACGCGGCCAGGAAGCGGTCCTGGCGGCCATCAAGCACCATGGATTCGCCACGGCGCCATAGACCAGCCACCCTGGGCGGGCAAAGCGAGCGCGACAACGCGACCGCGATTACTCCACCCTTACCACGGCTTTGGCGCGGTGGCGTGTCTGGGTACAAGGGCCCGTAGTCGTGGCTGTGCGAGACGGGGGGCATGGGAACAAAGCGCTTGGGGCTTTCCTCGGGCCCAGACGTCCGGGTTCGTCGACTCACTTGGTGGGTGGCCCCCGTCCGACTCGATCGGTACGTGGGGTAAGGTGCGGTGCCTGACTGCGGTCCCGTATGACAGTCGTGTGTGGTCAGAAAACGGCCATGATTGCGCCGTGCGTCATCACGGACACAGCAGGTCCGAGCACTGCGACTGGTTCTAGTCCCAGCTGTGTGGCGAGATGGGCTGATTCCGTGCAGCACGGGAGTGTGTGCTGGCGATCGCATGGCGTCGAGCATGGGCGCGCAATTGATGACGCAATCAGCGCAACGTAGTGAGCCATGGGGTATAAAGTTGGAGAGGGCTCTGCAAATTGGCCCCTCGCAGCGATACGGTAATGTCGAGCACACACGCCCAGCCTTTGGAGCAGTTCCCGTGGCATCCAACAGTGGCTTTTTACGAGCAATAATACGACAAGGCGAAGCTCGCAGAACGTGACCATCATCAATTGGGGTACAGGGGAAGAAGAGGCGGTTGCAACTATGGTCCGTACACGGTGTTCGGACAGCGACTCTAGTGGTAGGATACGCCTCTGCGCAAAATGCCACACACATCGATCAACTCGTGGATAAAGTCTCCGTAGGTGCCTCCAGAGTGTGGTGCCGGCCAAGTGCCATCGGGTAAGTGGCACCGACTGGTGCTGTCAGCTTCCACTTCGCAAGCGTTGCAACGTCGAGGGAGGGGGAGCTGCAGTGTCAACTGTTGTGGCGGAGAGAATTTCCGGGTCCATCGGTATCAACGCTCCCGAGGCAATCGACGACGATATTATGGTCGTCCGTAACCAGCCAGTCGAGTCAGGGTTCAGAGTGCCGTCATACTCGCATTCTGTGCTTCTGACCCGCGGCTCGTAATCGCTCGTGAGGTCGTAGCAGCTGCTGAGCAGCCCCATACAAAAAACAGGAATAGATGGGCGGCCCCTTGCCCTGTCTGTTCTGGTACACATTTGATGCGTCGATTTCGCGCACAATCAAAAGACGACCTGCAGCGGTTCTCCGCTCGAGTCTCATTTTCGAACATTCCTTCCGAGTGGCAAGTGACCCACCAACCAACGACCGCCAGCAGTTACTCAGTCCGTCCGTCCGTCCGTCAGTCAGTCAGTCAGTCTGCCGCCACCAATGACCATCGCACAAGGGCCGTTCGCTGGGCTCGTCCGCACGTCGCACCCCTTTACGGGTCCAGCGGCCTTCTCGACGACGTGCAGGCGCCAGTCACGGGCAGACTACCCGTCGCTCGCGCACTTTACCGCGTCGGAATACGCCACGAGCCACGAACTTCGATACCAGCAGCAGCAGCAGCAGGAGCAGGAGAAGGCAGCGGCTGACCACATGATGCAGCAGCCTGCAACGCCGACGCTCCACTTGAGCATCAACCCGAGACTGCCGTCGCTCGCGGGTCTGCTCAAGCAGATGCAGGCGACGTCCCCCGTGACCGCAATGCCGTCGCCGCAGCACTCCCAGCTGAGTCCCGTGTCTCGCGGACCGATGCCGATCCCCTCGTTGTACAGCTCGATCAGTCCCACTATGGTCAAGCGCGTGCCGTCGGCAGCTTCAATGCCGCAGACGCCGCTGCCCGGCGTTGGACTGTTCTCGCTACCGTCGCACTTGAAGATGAGATCGTCGATGGGCCTGAGCTCTCCTGGAAAGAAGCGCTCGTGGGCCGACGCCAGCTATGCTGGGAAGGCTGCCAGGACCCGGGCGTCGTCCTGTGGTAGTCAGCCCGTACACCGCAATCGGGCGTCCAAGTACTGCAAGATCGAGGGCTGCGAGCGGGTATCGCAGCGCAACAACCTGTGCCACAGCCACGGCGGCAAACGCCTGTGCAAGGAAGACGGATGTTCGTCCAAGGACCGCGGCAATGGGTTTTGTATCAAGCACGGTGGCGGCAAGATTTGCTCGATGGCTGGGTGTGAGAAGAAGGCTCGACGGAAAGGGCTGTGCACGGAGCACTTTCGTGTGTCCGACGAGGTGTTCAGGATCGACGGCGACGTGTACTCTCCGCGCATGGCGGAGCAGTATGCATTTCGACCCGTGTAGTTGAGAGGCGTAGGACGTCTCTGTATTTCGTTAGCTTAGGTATAATCGTATAAGTAACTCGTGTGAGATATGCAATCGTGTCCAGAAGAAGAGTTGTCACCGTGGCTGCATGCGTCAGGATTGCCGTATTCTCAAGTGTGCTGAACACATGTACCCACCTCTGCTTGACTCGACCGCGGGCGGAGGAAACTGCCCAACGAATAGCGCATCAGCGGATGCATCGAGTGACTTCGAAAATCCAGAGACCACAGTGTCGGGAGAGCACAAGCACCCACGACTCGTCAACGAGTCTAAAGTATTCCGTAAACGGCTTCAGCTGTACAGTTGCCAGAAGCACTTCAGCCATCAGTTACTGCTGGCTTCACGATTGTCAACGCCCGTATTGATGGACAGCGGCTACTCAGCCTTCTGCATCCAGCTTCAAGCCGTCTATCCCCGCCAGACTCGTGACATTCCGAGAAGTCGTGTACGCGACAGAATTGGCATTGTCCCCATCGTGACTTGCACGTTCTTACACTACCACGACGAAAGGCGATTACGGCCTGCATCCTCGCAGCCTGTGCCCGCGGTGGTAAAGTCCGTGTTTGCACATCCCTGGAGTAGCCGGACCTTCGCAAGCGCAGAGGTACTTACCGCCTCGAGGCAGTGTGCGTAATCACAGTGAAGGATGCAAATCCCGGAACACGTTATGCACCAGCAACCCATTGCACCTAAACCGGCTTAACTGTGCAAGACGTACCCGATAGGTTGTGTCGAACCTGTCGCTGTCAAAAATTGGTACACACACTGACAACAAACACGCGCTGCAGGAGACTGGGGGGCCCCATCGCACGTATCTGCGTATATTGGCTGCAACCTCATGCAAGTTGCATCGCTCTGCATCATCATCAGAGTGGGGGGTTTCTCCGTGTCGAGTGTCGTCCGGGTGCTCGTTGCTATACGTTTCCAGAGGTTCTACTGGGCGCCAGCCATTAGCGCTGCTTCGCATGACATATTCCGACCAATTGCTGTCGTCCAAACACCTGACGGGTGCTCGTGCGAAACCGGCGCATCGCCTGCATCCCATCAGCGCAGTGATTTGTTGTGCTGAATGACACAGTCCGTCGAGAAAAAAGAGCTTTCGAGTCCGACAAGGGAGCGGCACTGGGTGAGTGGTGGGTGTCATTCAAATGTCGAAGCACAAGTCAGTGGGAGTCAGGGGCAGTCCATTGCCGATTTGCATCTCAGCCGCCCAATCGCCCGATCCCAACGTCCCGAACCCCACCGGCGGTGACCTGACCAGACACAACGCAGCGCCATGAGCTTCTCGGACAACCACAGCGATAGCGAAGTGCCCACTGCGGACGAGCACAACGCCTGCGAGTACCTCGACGCAGCTCTCACCGTCTTTGTCATTGGCGCCTCGGGCGATCTCGCCAAGAAGAAGACGTACCCGTCGCTCTTCGCCCTCTACACGTCGGGGTACCTGCCCGAGCACGTGGTCGTCGTGGGCTTTGCACGCAGCAAAAAGAGCGACTCCGACTTTCGTGCGCAGGTCGCGCCCTACCTCGAGCCCAAGACGTCCGAGGCCGAGGCCAAGAAGGACGCGTTCCTCAAGAAATGCATCTACCGCAGCGGGGACTACGACTCTGCGGACGCGGTCGGTAAGGTGAGCGACGAGATGGAGGCGCTCGAAGAGGCCCACGGCACGTCTGTGGCCAACCGCCTCTTCTACTTTGCCATTCCGCCCACGATCTTTGTGCCCATTGGCACCAGTATCAAGAAGGCGGCGCTCACGTCCCGTGGCTGGAACCGCCTCATCGTGGAGAAGCCCTTTGGCCGGGACCTCGAGTCGTTCAACAAGTTGTCGACGGACATGGGCGCGCTGTACGCCGAGGACGAGATCTACCGCATCGACCACTACCTTGGCAAGGAGATGGTGCAGAACCTGCTGGTGCTGCGCTTTGGCAACGCGATTTTCGAGCCCATCTGGAACCGCAACTACGTCTCGAGCGTGTCGATTACGTTCAAGGAGGACTTTGGCACGCAGGGCCGCGGCGGCTACTTCGACTCGTACGGCATCATCCGTGATGTCATGCAAAACCACTTGCTGCAAGTGCTGTCCCTCGTGGCGATGGAGCCGCCAGTCATGGCTGCTGGCAAGGACTACTCGAACTACATTCGCGACGAGAAGGTCAAGGTGCTGAACTGCATCGAGCCGATCAAGCTGGAGAACACGGTGCTGGGCCAGTACCAGGGCGACAAGGAGCGCAACGAGCCTGGATACCTCGAGGACCCGACTGTGCCCAAGGGATCGGTGACGCCCACGTTTGCCACGACAGTCATGTACGTGAACAACCCCCGCTGGGCTGGCGTTCCGTTCATTATGAAAGCTGGCAAGGCCCTCAACGAGCTAAAGGGCGAGATTCGTGTGCAATTTCGCCCGCCTCCTGGCGCGGAGCACATGTTCCCGGGCGTGAAGATTCCCGTGCAAGAGCTCGTTCTACGCCTGCAGCCCGAAGAGGCCGTGTACATGAAGATGAACATGAAGAGCCCGGGCTTGCAGACCCAGGCCATCTCGAGCGAGCTCAACTTGTCGTACTCTGAGCGCTACGAAGGCGCCGAAGTGCCGGGTGCTTACACTCGTCTCATTCTGGACGTCCTTCGCGGCAAGCAGGCGGCTTTTGTGCGTGACGACGAGCTGCGTGCAGCCTGGAAGATCTTCACGCCGCTGCTGGACGAGATTGAGCGTCAGAAGGTCAAGCCTCTGCCCTACGCCTTTGGCTCGCGCGGACCCAAGGACAGTGACAAGCTCATCAACAAGGTTGGCTTCCGGTACCACAACGGTGCGTACCAGTGGCATTCTCGTAGCCGCGCCACCAGTGCGCTGTAGGCACCTCACTCATATGAGTCTTCCCGCGTGAGACTGCAGAGCGGCCTGGCGCATAAGTATAACGGAGAGCCATCTGAGTCCCGCGGGCAAGAGAGGGAGCTGCCCAGTGTCAGCGTCTGAGCCACGACGCAATTGAATGGTCCGCCACGGACCGAATCTCGCTCTGATAATTTGATAACACACGTAAACGCTCACATGGACTTTATACGAAAAGCGTATTTTTGCACAGCTAGCAGAAAAAAGCGCAGTACAAACATAGAGAGGTCCAGTTGGCCGTTGTCGTCCCACTTTTGGTGTCAAACGTTTCGACGCCGCAGCGACGTGACCGGCCGCAGGGGCCGCGCAATGACTTTCAAGCGGCGGCCAGCAAACCGCAAGGGCCCGCGCTCTGCCGCGCACCGCAAGATCAGGAGTCCGTGTCTACTGGACCCGAAGTCCACGTGTTCGGGTACCCTGTTGCCTTCTGACCTCGAGCTGCCGACAGTATCCGACGACAGGTCCCCCACAGATGTGGGGGAGTCGAGCGAGTTGGAACAATCCGAGTTGGAACAGAAGAGACTGACAATTGGAGAAGCAGCAACGGTGGACAGCTCTTCTTTTGCTCCGGGGGCTACTGATGATGCTACTGGTCCAGTCGTCAGTGCAGTCGCACTTCAGCTGGCGGTACCAGCAAGGGACACGGACTCGTCGTTTGGATCGACGGCCTCGTCCTCGTCGACAAGAGAGACCACGACTCTGCTGCCACAATTGTGTACCGTGCAACGTGATCCGAATGATTCGGTGGAGCCCGTTGCTGAAGGTCAGGACGGAGAACGCGAGCCGGTGCGTCGTGGCCGACGTAAACGCCGTCCAGTGGATCTACTGCATCCGTCGGAGACGCCATGTAGCCGTAAGTCTTCGCATATGCAGAGAAACGTCAAGTCCAAGGTACAAGCTCTGCGTAATGATCGCCCTGCAGCTGCTGTCACGGCTGCGGCTTGCGCTGGGGCTGCTGCAAAGCAGAGAGAGAAAACACAGAAGCGAGTTGCTGCTAAGAGTGCTGATAGCACAAGCAAATGGACACCTACTGGAGTCTTATCACCTGTTCAAGATGAGAAGAAAAAGACACCAGAGAAGAAACGGAGCTGCAAGGCGCGGCGCTCATTAGAATCCGCGTACACTTTCGAGTCGCAGACCGAGTACGTCTCGGCGTTGATCAAAGAGCTTTACGAAGAGCAGGAACAGGACGACCGGGAGATGTATAGCATCACTAGAGACACGGTCGTGACAGAGACAAGCGCATGCAAGCGATCCCAGGAGATCGAGGATCTCAACATGGAGGAATTTCGACGCTTGATGACATATGGTGAAGTGTCGATCAAGTCGGTGGCTAACACGGTCCTGCCATTGCTGAACCTAGACGAGGACGACGTTTTCTTCGACCTTGGATGCGGCACGGGGAAAATCCTGGTGCAAGCGGCTCTTCAAACACCGTGTAGACGAGCAACAGGCATCGAACTTATGCAGAATCGCGTTCTGGAAGGACAAAAAGCCTTGAAGCGGCTAGAATCCCGCAACATTGCCATACTGCGCGGCAAGCAAGTCGAGATCTTTCGAGGCGATATCTTTGTTCCACCCGAGGAAGCACGTTTGATGGACGCCACTGTGGTCTTCATCAACAATGTCATGTTCGGCCCTGCTCTCATGCTAAAGGTAATGGAGCTTCTCAAGGACATGGCCAAGCTGCGGTGCGTGATCACACTTCGCAAAATATGCGAACGTCACGGAGACTCAAAGTGCACTCGCGCCGGTAACTTTTGCATCGAGTACGTCCACCCGCCCATTGAAGCTGAGATCGATGTATCCTGGGCCGACAAGACCTCGGTGTATCTTTACGAAAGTCTGGATTACAAGCTGTGCGAGTTGAGACGTCAGCTTTCCAAAGGCGTACACTAGCGATGGGTGATGGGATGACGACGGCGCAATATGACGCAAGTGTAACTACAGCCTCAGACTGTGTACAGCTCCATGCGGTAAGTGTAGAGGATCCCTTTTGATCGTACGTGAGCTGATTTGCAACGAAATGGACCCAGAGCGCAATTACAGTAACGAGCAGAAAGAATAAACGTTGCTCATCTTCACAACGGTTACATGTGCAGCTGTGTGTTGGCTGCCTGCACTTCCTTACCGACATCGTGTCTTGCCCCATCGCCATCTCCTACGAGCTGTCTGTTGCGTGTGAGGCCGTGGTCGATAAGCTAGATAAGAGCTGATCCCATAGACGAGTCTTGAGAGCTCTCTTCGAAAAATATGGCCTCGTAGAAGTTCCGGAATGCTTCAATCTCTCCGACACCCTGCGAATATTTTGCAGCGTTACTATTAGGTCCTGAAGACAGCAGAAGCTTGTTCGTCTCTGCTTGCAGGCACGGAATAAGCTTCGCAAGAGGCGGCGCCGGTCTCGTTGTCGGGACGTTATCAGCGTTATCCTCTACGGGTTGACTTCCCGGGTTGCTCGATCCATAGACGACATCTTCGAGGTCCTGAAAAGCGTTGCCACACAGATAGCTCAAGCTATTCTGGAGCGCAGGCATAAATAGATAGCTCTCTAGGAGATCCCACAAGTCGTTAAAGAGGCTAATCACATGCTCATCCTGACCCTGTTGCTTGTCCGAGTAGATCAAAAACTCCCTCCACATGACCACTTCGGGCAGCTCTTCGTGCTTTGCTGCTGCAGCAACTGCAGCCGGTGAAGGCAGTACCGCCACAAACAGCGCTTGCAGCAGCTGGTTCAGTTCTTCTGCCGTCACCGCTGTCTTCTGACTGACTCGCCAGGCCTGTAACTCTGTATTGCTCGTCACGACGGTCTCTACATGGGCCGTGACTTTGTCCAGCGCTTTGTCGAAAAAGTACTCGAGTCCAGACGACAGGAACGCATGGTGTGCCTGCTCCTCTGCCTCTGCCCGGAACTGGTCCATCACGTTTGGTCGCTTGCTCTTCTCAAACACCCGCTTGCCAATGACAGAGACTTGAGCGAACACCAGTAGATGCCACAGGCCAAAACCCACGAGCGTCGTCAAGTAGCGCGTGACCGCCAGCAGTTTGGCCTTCTCCCAGAGCGCAGTGCGCTCCGTCTTCTGCGTCTTGTCCAGCAACTTGAGCGCCTTCACGACGCTCTCGAGATCCAACTGCTGGTACACGCGCGTCTTCAGTCGTGGTAGGAATCGCTGGACCGTCGCACGGCTCTCGTCCGCAGTACTGCCCAGTGCCAGTTGCAGACGCTGGTGCTCGGCCAGTTGCGTCTGGATCTTCTCGCTGAAGCGCTCGGCTTCGACCAGCATTCGACGGTACGCGAAGTACGCGCCTCCCGTACACACTGCGCCGACGCTCGTCACGACCAGCAGCTTCTTGTGGCGGCGGACGAAGCCGCACGTCGCCCGCGTGGCCCGTTCCAGCGCCGACCACATCATTGCCACCGCGTGACGTCTCGAGGCCGGCGAGCAGCGTTTTGATTGGTTGAAATAAAACCCATCGAGCGGCGTGGGTGGGTCGATAAAAAACCCACCGTCGACTGGGTGAATGCTGCCGATCCATCGACATGGCCGACGCCACGAGTGCTGTTCCGGGACGCTTTGACGCGCTGTTGACGCAGCTGGCGCAGCAACACGGCGGCGTGGAGTCGCTGCTGGACTCTTTCTTTGACTTTCTGCACCGGAAGACCGACTTTTACGTGGTGTCCAGCGACCCCGCAAGGCACAAGATGGGCTTTTTGCCTGGCCAGGCCCAGCGAAAGGTGCTCGAAGCGTTCCAGAGACATCCGATGAAGAGTTTAGACGAAAGGAATGGCAGCGCTGTAACTGTGAGAAGTGTTACAACGACAAAGACGACGGGAGCGACAGCGGTTCCGACTGCCTCTTCTGCTGCGCTGGCTGGAGCTTCGACAGCTGCTGTTGCTACGGAGGGACCGGAGCTGACAGAAGATGGCAAACAGAGTAAGACAGAGCTGTTACTGCTGCTGCTGCTGCTGCTGGTGCTGCTGGTGCTGCTGCTTCTTTGTTGTACGGGTGCGGAGTGTGGAGTGATGATTGGCCTATCGTGAACATTTAATTGTCGATATGCTGCAGTTCCTATTGCTAATGGCGGAGTCGCAGAGAAGTACACGTGGACGCAGACGCTGGAGGAAGTTTCGGTGGGTTTGCTGTTCGCGCGAGTCACCAATGTGTTGCTAGTTGCTGACAATGCGCTATTGCTCTTGCAGATGCACGTGGAGTTTGCACAGGACACGCAAGCAAAAGACTTGGACTGTCACATCGGACCCACGCGACTGCGTGTGGCGCTCAAGAGCGATCGAACGAGAGCACTGTTAGAAGGAGAGTTTCCGGAAAAGGTCCGTGCGGACGAGAGCATCTGGTCGATAGAGAGCAACCGCACACTCAACATCTCGCTGGAAAAGGTCCAACGCACATGGTGGGCCTGCGCGCTGAAAGGGGGGCCAGAGATCGACACGAGCCAAGTGGATTCTAGACGGAGCATCCAGGAGTACGATGAGGCCACGCAGGGTGCCATCAGGAAAGCCATGTACGATCAGCGTCAGCAGCAAATCAACGGCAGACTTCCGCTCACTCCGGAAGAACGAATGCTGCAAGAAGCCAAGAACTTGCCGGGCTCGCCTTTTTTTGTCCTCCACACAACAATAAAGACACTGCAAGAAGGCGCACATATGTTCGCCTGCGCTGAACTCTGCACACGATCCATTTCATTGCCTCTGTTCATTGATTCACAGACGGTGTTTCTTGCCCCTAAGTCTATCGCATCCGTTGGCAGGTCCCATGTAGCAGCAGATATCCAAATAGTCGATACAGTTACAGGATGCCCCAATGACGTTCAAAGCCGTTCAGTAGACGGCAGATGGCCTGGGCACCGCTCATCGGGTACTCTGAGATGGATATGGTCTCGTCCAGCTACAGACGTCAACCCAACAAAGCACAAAGAGACTGTTAGTCGCACTATCATTACATTGCTCGAAACACGAGTGTCGCGTACGTAGTTGCAGTTTTCCTTCGAGACGTGACCGTGTGCCATCGCACCAAAGATAAACACCACTGGCTCGTCCTTGGGCAGCGTCTCCACCCACTCCCACGGGTTCACCAGCGTACCAACGCGAGACAGCGCGTACTTCTTGCAGTTGGCCGGCAAGTGTTTGGTCACGGGGTTCTTGATCACGTTCAGCAGCGTGTGGTTGCCGTCCGACGACCGGATCTTCAGCGTGTGCAGCAGTTGCACTGTCCTCAATCAAGTAGACCGTCAGTATCATCAAATCGTCTCCCACTAGTGCAAAAGGTGCGCCTACTTACCCATTAGACCGGCGAAGCGCTTATACGTGCGGGGCACGCGCATCTGCGAGCTCACCTCAACGAGAACGCCCTTTGTGCTCTGGATGTAGATCTGCACCAGCAGTCAACAGTCAACAGTCAATACCACCAGCAAAGACCGATAGGGCTCAGAAAACCGATGCCAGTAGCGACAGGTACTACGGTCTCTAGTACCTTGAGGTACCCGGCCTTGTTCAGTGGCGAGTCGAGCAGCGCCATGAGCTCTTGGTGCAGAATGTCGGGCCGCGACTGGCTGGCGTCGCGGTTGAGTTTCTTGTGGATGCCCTTGTGGTCATCGCAGTTGAGCAGCTGGTACCCCTTCGAGGTCTTGACCGTCTCCAGCGCCGCTTGCTCCAAGATCACGATCACCTGACGCCGCTTCACGTCTTCTTTGCTCGCACTCATGGGTTCGTTTTACGCGACAAAGCACTGGTCACGGCTGATGGGACACATTGCAATGGGACACGCTTCTCATTGGTCGTGACAGCGACGTGACGCGATTTATGTCGCACACACAAGCCTACAAAGCAGCTTCGACCACACAACTCCGTCCCAAAAAGGTTGAGCTCGAGGGAATGTAAGGAAATTGCAATGAAATGGCAGAGGCTGCATTTCTAACGGATGAGAAAGAGGACCCGAGAAACACGGAGAACATGCAGTACAACGTTATACAAAAATAGAAGTGAGGGAAAGCACCAAATGCTATCTTTCAAATGGGCACTTTATGACAAAAAAAAAGGTATATCGCACACGCAATAATCATAGGGAGCCGCTATTCACCACTCACTTATCGCTATTCACCACTCACTATTCGCTAACCACCACTCACCCTCCATTGTGAAATATTGTGACTGGCTGATTAAATTATTATAAATGAACGCGCTAATACGGTAGAGGCTAAATACACCGGGCATTATTGCTAAATACACCAGCGCCTATCTATCAGATTTAATATTTATATGACAACCGTGGTATCACATCCAGGCCATGTCAATTCGAATATTACAGGATAAGCTAAGTGGAAATGCATCTGTAACATGGTTAGGCCACGATAGTTCAAAAGAAAGCCTCCGTTGTCCGATGCATGAGATGAGCACTTCATCCGCCTTCACTACTGCTGCTGCAACTGGTACGGTCGCTGATGTTGATACTAACTCTGTCGTCGCTGACAATCATGTTACGCCTCAAGTTGATGCTGGCCCTGATCCTGCCGCCGCCGATCTCTCATGAATCTGTGAAGAATCCCCACCGGTCGGGCCTTTTGACAGTCAAAAGACGGCTGTAGAGACTTTGAAGCAGTACGCCGTACGCCAAGGCTTTGCCATCAGCGTTCCCGCAGTCGTTCGATCGGTCCCAAACGCAGTTTCTTTTTTACATGCTCGCAAGGAAAACATTATACGAATCCCACAGTCGGCACACGTCAATGCGGGATCGCGGAACAAAAAAAGTCGGCTGTTCATACAAGCTCGTGATCATGTATGACCAGCACGCTCCAGAAGAAAGTGCCTGGTCAACGCTTTGTGTACACAACTGTCACACCGTTCACTTCCGCTCTATCATCAAGACCATGCTCTCAGCGCTACCGGTCGCGAGACGTGCGTCGCTAAATAATGACGATCTTGATTCTGAGGTCGTCCAAAAGCATCAAGATGGAGCTTCTTCACGTGTATGTGTGCGTGTTGAAGTTATATACAGCAGGTCATTATCTGTTTTCTGTCTTTATGTGATTTACATAGGATATTAACAATTTAAAAGGCGGGTATCCTTATAAATGCAAAGGATGTCCGCATTTTTTCAGAAGGCAAACAGAAAGTTACTTATAAAATCTCACACACGGAAGCTCTGCTGCAGCGCATATAGGACCAGAGGTGGTCTGGCTCCGATAAGATGCATTTCTTTTTATCTTATCCTGTCATATTCGAATTGATGTGGCCTGGCTGCGTCACCACTGTCGTCATATAAACCTTGTCTCTAATGGATAGACGCCGGTGTATTTAGCAATAATGCCCGGTGTATTTATCCTCTCCCCGCTAATATTGTACTCACTCTCGTTAAAACGAACGCTCGGTAGTATTGCACAAATTTTGACGTCAAACATCACTTACATCACCGTGGACCTATTGTTGGAAATTTCGTGAGTTGTTTAATGCACTTGTGTGCTAAGAGGTAGGAGTAGAAGCGAATATATTAGTGTGTTATCTTCGTTCGCTAACACCATTATACAAACATGCACTGCAACTTGACCATAACATGATTGCGTCCGTTCTCCTGCTCATCTTCATAAGACGCCGCCATGTCACCCAACGGTCATGTCGCCACCTCGTCCCGCCATCTGGTCCGTCACCATCCTGTCACGACAATTGTCTACGTCGTGCTCTCGTCGCACCATCTGTCACAGGTCGTAGCCTCGTCTCACCATCTGTCAAGATGTTGGTGGACTCGACCAATCAGGTGTCACTGTCACATGTTCTTGCAGTTAAATCTGCTGTGACTATGACTGACAGAAACGTTTCTAAAAAAGAATTTCTAACACCTATTGCTTCACACTGGTGGTTAATGCAGCTTCCTCGACAAGAGGTAATGTATGTAACACCATCATATCAATCGGGGCACAATGAAGCACATCCAATAAAAAGTTGAAGAGGGAACCTCGAACAGACATCGACTTTTCTTTGACCATTCCGATATGCTACCGGAAGCGAAAGTCTCCAATCCATGTGTCTGTCATGGCCGCGGTCGTACTATTGGTGCTCTTAGGCATTAACTGCTAAAAATCAATCTCAGAGCTCTACTCAGCGGGTACATCACACTTTATACGTTGTGATAAATTCTTTGTGGTATGTACGTCGAAGCGATAAGTGCGGAGAAGCAGGACACAGCAAAGACGATGTCGGCAACCTCTTCCAACTATATGGCTTTTGGCAGTAGCCAAGGGCGATTTAAGGTGGAAACGCTTGGAAGAAGGTAAAATGAAAGTTGTTATCATCTAGATAGATCCTCAGTTCTTCTCGTTGTACCAAACAAAGCCTATCGATATCGATTCTACGATATCAGTAACGAAACGATGAGTCGATCCCATCAGTACACACAATCACCTAATGTCGTCCTTGCCATGTGGTCGTTAGTATTAGTAAATAACATTACCAATACACGTCCTCGACTAGAAGTCTCTGATCTTGGCTTTGCCCACCAGTGACTCGAACTTCTTCGTCGAAATCACTTTGGTCAGAGAGTCTGCCAGCTGTAACTTGGTTTCGGTATGCTGAAGTTCAATAATTTTGTCTTTCCCTTGTTAGCGTACAAAATGATGCCTGATGTTGATATTCTTCGCTCGACATTGATAGCCGTCGTTCTTAGCGTTAGCGATTGCACTATAGTTGTCGTCATGAATCGTGATAGCGTTATCTATCTGCACATGTATATCCTTGAGTAGACTTCTTAACCATAGCACATTTTGTACACACAAAGAAAGAGCCATATGTTCTGCTTCTACCGTTCTCACTGCCACGCTCTGCTGCATCTTCTACTTGAAAATCACACATAAGCCATTAACCATGACCAAGACTCCAGCAATCGATCTGCGATTGCACTTGTTACTTGCCCAGTCCGCATTCGTGTACGCACTCATCTGAAGATTGCCTGAAACTCCTTCATAGCAAATTCATGTGCTCTTCGTCGTCTTCAGATATCGCAAAACTCGAATCGCTGCATTCCAGTGCTTTTCGTGCGGAATTTCAAATGACGACTCATCTGACATACTGCGTACGCAATATCTGGTCTTGTGCCTGTTGCCACATACAACAGCGACCCCACTAATGGGCCGATACGGTCTATTCTTCATTCTGGGTCAACTTTTTCCATCTTTATCATCGCTTGCCCTTCAACATTTGGATTCGATACTGCTTTTGCATCAACTTGATTATATTTCTCGACCACTCTTGATGTACACGATCCTTGACTGGTCTTCAGACGTCGATCGTCGCACAGGGTACTTTACTTTGATTCAGGGAACGTATCTAGCGCGCCCCTATATCGTCATCTGGAAACGGCTTGACAGTTGCGCTGCCACATCGTCCATCGCACCATGAGATACAGCCCCTATCAGAAGTTCGTCTACATATAATGCAGCTAAAATCAACGAGACCTTGGTCTCTTTGACGAAGATACATGAGTCTGTCGCGCATGAGGTAAATCCCATATCCACAAATACACACGAAATTGTCTTGTACCATGTTGTGGCCGCTTGCTTTAGCCCATACAGGCTGCGATACAACTTGAGCACTTGATCACATCCTACACGAACTCCTAGAGTAGGGTGTGCGTATACCTCTTCTTTCAAAACGCCATATCGAAAAGCAGTTTCGACATCATATTGATGAATTAACATCCCCTTGTGACAACACACCGCCAAAAACACCCGAAATGAGTTGACGTTTACCACCGGTGAATATGTCTCCTTGTAA